GGGGGATGGTACAGCTTCAGAAACTAATCGCTGATGCCACAACTTCCTTTAGGCCATCAAAGCTGAAAACCACACTCAGCACCAAGGAAACCATTATCAATCAGTAGGCTCTTCAAAGAATATCGCCCTCAAAGGTATCTCTTTCCCTAGCCAATTCACCAGCTCTATGTGCTTTCATAACCAATGTACCTTCAATGTCATGGAGGGTGTCCTCTGCCTCGTCTTCTAGAAACTGTTCCCACTATCGCTTTTATTTCCAGGTCACCATAACATTTAAAATACCTTACTTCTGAGACAAGATACTGCCCCGATGTTTAGACTAAGGGCGCTGATGTTTGTCTTTTCCTTGGTACCAAAGAAAGACAAAAATAGAATCTGGAAACACGCAAAAAATCACTCATGTTAGCTGGGCAGAACAAACAAGAATATATGAATCAGTTGTTGCCCAAGAACTACAGCTGTCCAACTCTTACCTTGACATCTCCCCGGGAGTCGAAGCCATCCAACTGGTTCAGGAGCTCCAACATGGTTCTCCGGATCTCCTCTCTCTCCCCCAGAGTTTGACTCATATCTGCAGGATGTTCAGACAACACAAGATTAATGAGCAATAACTGCCTGAGTTATCTTTCCTGAACCACTGCTGATTACTTCCAATTGAAAAACAAAAAAATTAGAAAAGCAGAAAATGTAAAACGCCAGCCACGCTGACCACATTCTGGCTAAACTGGTGTGCTGACTACATTCTGGCCACACTGACATGCTGACCACATTCTGGCAACAGTGGCAGGCTGACAACATTCTGGCTACACTAGCAGGCTGACAACATTCTGGCTACACTGGCAGTCTGACAACATTCTGGCTACACTGGCAGGCCAACCATATTCTGGCTACACTGGCAGGCCAACCATATTCTGGCTACACTCGCAGGCTGATAGACAAACTATAAATTAATGCTGAGGAGATTGTTACTGCAGGACACTATAACACAATGCCATAGAGGAACGATATAGCAATTCTTGAGCAGAACAGTACAACAAACATAGCACGATACTCTATAGAGGGGACAATATTCACAATCCTTCTTACAGATCAGTACAACGCACAAACATATAGCAAGATGCTACAGAGAGGACAATATAACAATTTCCTTAGCACAAAAAATATAACGATTGCTAGACATGACAGTAGAACCAATGTAGCACACACAAAGTAAAGGCAGTAGCACACATATCCAATACCCCAAGGCATGGAAAAACGGTGTCTTGAACTCGGTGCATGAACATAGAACATAATAATAGAATCACTAGGTTACTGTGACAGCACTAATGTACAAAAGGTCAAGCATACAACAATCATCCTACCGCTTGGTGCCCACCGCAGCAATCTCATCGATGAACACAATAGAGGGGGCATGCTCCTCTGCTACTCGGAAAATTCCCGTACCAGCTTGGGCCCGTCACCTGTGTGAGGGAGATTCAGCCACAAATATATATATACGAGTTCTATGAAGTCATATTGGTGGATAGTTTTAGGCCCATGTGTTGGACGACTGAAGGGTACCAGATTGGTGACACTGTCAGCCTTCTGTCAGTGCTTGTTCTACAGCAGGCTTCGGTGATCACAACTCTCCACTTCTCTATTATCTAATATTATGAAGTCAGTGTAGTTATACAATTATTTACTTCCAAGCTGTTGCAGCTTTTCATACACCTCTCTCTCTTGCCTACTGCTACTATTTTCCTGCAGCAAAGATAATTTCTGACAACACATATACATTTCTCTCTCTCTTCATCTCTTAGCCTAGTATTTTCCTACAGCACAGATCAATTGTGACAACACATCCACCTCTCTCTCTTTCTCTCTGCCCTCATCACTTAGCTCAGTATTTACTTACAGCACAGATAATTTGTGGGAGTTGCCGCGGTGTAGTGGCCAGACGCTCGCCTGCGGATTGGAAGGTCGTGGGTTTGCTCCATGGTGGAGACGGACTTTAAAAAAAAAGATTTTGGCGCCCAAGTCGACCCAGCTTTGAGTTGGTATCATGTGCATTCCTAGGAAGTAAAGGCGGCCGGCGAGATACTGACTACATCACCCATCTTGTGCCGATTGGTCTATAGAAATATAGGTCTAGCCATATATATAGGTCTCTGTGTTCCTCTTCTCCATATTATTCTCCCAAATTAAGGTTAATATTTGGACAGCTACAAAAAAAGTAATGAAATCTGATGGTTATGAAGAGTAACTGTAATGCCTCAGCTGTGAATAGCCAGAAAATGTCTTTTTCTCTGTCCACATCACTTCAGGAACTTCAATCCAGGCATGAACTTACCAGATATTTTTGAATAAGTTCCGAACCAACAACCCTCAAGAAAGTTGCAGAAGTCTGATTGGCTACAGCTTTTGCCAGCAATGTTTTACCTGTAATAAAAAGAAACAGTTACTATAAGCATCACAGGCAAACAGCTGATCTATGTGTAATAGTGAAACATTAGATGATCAAAACACCAATAGAAGCACTACGCTTGAAACAGGTCCTACGGAAAGCAACCAGTGAAACTGTCTGGAGAACTAGACCTCTACAGCCTAGAAGATACCTGACACAACAAATGTTGGTGTTCCTCATGTTGTAATGTAACTGTTATGGGACGACACATCAGACAACATCTGAACACATACATGAAGAATTCGACTCCCAAGTCTATCTGGGTCACATCACACAAGTCCCTGTGTGAGTTCCAGGGCTCCACTGTGAAAGTAAACAAGAACAGACCCTGCCCAAAAGCATGTCATAAGAGCTGACTAATTGGGTGCTTTCTTCGAAGTTGCACATTTGCCTGCGAGACAAGGAACCAACAGCCTGCATGCAAATGAGCCAGAACTGTAAAACAGATGTGCACACATCACTCAGTTTCTGGAACAGGACTAGAGTCAAGAAGTAGATGAACAATCAGAAATGTCTACCGAACTTTACAACCGGTGAACGTAAAGAAGAAAAAGAAACTTCACACAAGCATTGATACAAATACAACCACAATCAATGGCTAAACAAACATACCATGCAGAGTTTCCCCAGTATATCCAACCTCTAGACACAATACCTTTTGTCAATGAATCCATGCAGCATGATCAGCACTCTTAAAGGCCAAACTCAACACAGAGCCCAGGTTAGGCCCTCACCTACATTTATGACACCAGAAAAGTGTTCTGCAGCTCCGGATCCTCTCAATGTGATCACTTTAAGAACATTCATGATCAGCCATTTTCCCCTACACACAGCGGGATCTCCATATGATAAGGGATACTCAATCCAATCAGTGACTGTGATCTTTTACTCCAGTTCTAACCACACAAAAAGAAGAGTCTTCAAGTGACAAGTGAGGAACAACTGAGACCACAAGAGCTAGAAGACAGTGTCCAAGATGTCAACAGAGAGACCAGTACCCAAGAGGTCAAACCTTGAAGTCTCTGATCACAGATGCAAATCTACAGCCTTACCTGTTCACCATATCAACAGTCTCAAGTGGATACTGCAGTGGAAGAACAATCAGTTCCCTCAGCTGTCCCTTACAAAACCAAGTCTCCATTTTATGACAACTGCACAGAATAACACCTTCTTACCAGTTCCAGGTGGCCCATAAAGGATGACTCCTTTGGGTGGCTTGATACCCATCTCCTCGTAGTATTCTGGGTGTGTCAGAGGCAGCTCCACAGATTCCTTGAGAAGAGAGAACCAACACTTGATTATATCACTGGCTTGTGGGAGGACATCATTCATGTATTAGACACTGACTTACAATACAAACATTTGTAGTTTAACAGACCTACCATACAAACATACATAGTTTAACAACAGACTTACCATACAAACATATGTAGTTTAACAACTGACTTACCATACAAACATACATAGTTTAACAACAGACTTACCATACAAACATATGTAGTTTAACAACTGACTTACCATACAAACATTTGTAGTTTAACAACTGACCTACCATACAAACATACATAGTTTAACAACTGACCTACCATACAAACATTTGTAGTTTAACAACTGACCTACCATACAAACATACATAGTTTAACAACAGACCTACCATACAAACATTCACAGTTTAACAACAGATTTATCATACAAACATACATAGTTTAACAACAGACTTACCATACAAATATATGTAGTTTAACAACTGACCTACCATACAAACATACGTAGTTTAACAACAGACTTACTATACAAACATACGTAGTTCAACAACTGACTTACCATACAAACATACGTAGTTTAACAACAGACCTACCATACAAACATATGTAGTTTAACAACTGACTTACCATACAAACATACGTAGTTTAACAACTGACTTACCATACAAACATATGTAGTTTAACAACTGACTTACCATACAAACATATGTAGTTTAACAACTGACTTACCATACAAACATATGTAGTTTAACAACAGACCTACCATACAAACATATGTAGTTTAACAACTGACTTACCATACAAACATATGTAGTTTAACAACAGACCTACCATACAAACATATGTAGTTTAACAACTGACTTACCATACAAACATATGTAGTTTAACAACTGACTTACCATACAAACATTTGTAGTTTAACAACTGACTTACCATACAAACATACGTAGTTATACAACAGACACACAAGTGAAGGTGTGCATGTTTGGACACCAAATAAGATAACTTGGCCATTAATCTCAAATGTGGTTCATTAAATAAATGAAGGTTCACACTAAAGCAGTATGTCTTGTGAGAAAAAAAAGCAACCATTGAGTATGGGCACTGACTGACATTAGAAAGGTCTTCAGGTCCTGACAACATATGAGGTTAGCTGTACAAGTGAACTGGCATGTTTGACCCACCTTGATCTCCTGGATCTGGTTGTCAAGGCCTCCAATATCTGCGTACGTCTCTTGTGGTGCCTTCTCCAGCTTCATCACAGTCACCATGGGATCTGTGTCATCTCCTAGCACGCCAACAACTGCATGAACCTGAAACATGAAACAGCTCAGTCTTAGAGAAGCTTCGACAGTAAAACTGTTGGATCTTCACTTCGTGTCACAGTTACATGACTTGTCCCAGGCACAGGAAACAGTTCAGTCTTAAACAGCCTGTTCCAGGAACAGGAAACAGTTCAGTCTTAAACAGCCTGTTCCAGGAACAGGAAACAGTTCAGTCTTAAATAGCTTGTTCCAGGAACAGGAAACAGTTCAGTCTTAAACAGCCTGTTCCAGGAACAGGAAACAGTTCAGTCTTAAACAGCCTGTTCCAGGAACAGGAAACAGTTCAGTCTTAAACAGCTTGTTCCAGGAACAGGAAACAGTTCAGTCTTAAACAGCTTGTTCCAGGAACAGGAAACAGTTCAGTCTTAAACAGCTTGTTCCAGGAACAGGAAACAGTTCAGTCTTAAACAGCTTGTTCCAGGAACAGGAAACAGTTCAGTCTTAAACAGCTTGTTCCAGGAACAGGAAACAGTTCAGTCTTAAACAGCTTGTTCCAGGAACAGGAAACAGTTCAGTCTTAAACAGCCTGTTCCAGGCACACTCATGCAACAGTTCTGTCTTAGAGAAGCTTCTAATGTACAACTGTGAGTAAGTTCTTCATGTCACCAGTTCTCCTTGTTCCACAGACATGCCACTAATGACCTCCAACCTTATCTTGAAGTACAGGAGTTACTCTGTTGAAACCAATTTCCTTCTTGTAAGGACTTTAAAAAAATTAAACACTGACAGAATTGGAAGTTACAAGTGCAACAGTGACAGAGGAAAACAACATTCAAGCTCTTCAGCTGCTAAACAGGAAGTTAAGTGTTACATGATTTTTTTTTTAAAGATCAAAACTCACGAATTACAACTTGATTTACTGGAGCCAAAATTAAAACATCCGTTTTCTAATCATCAAAATAATATAATATATAATAATACTACTGCACACTGTGGAGTTATTCAGGGCTATCAACGATGTAATGCATTCATCAATATGAATTTACTGAACTGTAATGCAAGTGTGTTTCTTATCAATCATTGGCACATCAGTGCCACAGATCTTTTGATAACCTTACAGTGGACAAGCAGCCAGAGATCATGTTACTGTTGCTGTTTGTGCCAACACTGACAAGTCATGGAACCTTGTGGATGTCTAAAGGCACACTGAGAGCAGGCTCAAGACCAACAGGTATTTGATAAGTCGTGTGATCCATTTCAGATCACGTGTCTTTACTTGTCGGGCGTTACCTGATAATCATTTTAGACGGAGTCGACCCTGAGGTTTGAAACAGCTCACATGGCACTTGACTAAAGTCATACATGTGACCTGTCAATAGTCCTAATACACTTGACCTTTAGGAAGATATAATTTACTTGACCTGTTGGTGGACATAATACACTTGACCTGTCAGTGGATCAAATATAGATGACCTGTTGGTGGACATAATATACTTGACCTGTCAGTGGACCAAATATAGATGACCTGTTGGTGGACATAATATACTTGACCTGTCAGTGGATCAAATATAGATGACCTGTTGGTGGACATAATACACTTGACCTGTCAGTGGATCAAATATAGATGACCTGTTGGTGGACATAATACACTTGACCTGTCAGTGGATCAAATATAGATGACCTGTTTGTGGACATAATACACTTGACCTGTCAGTGGACCAAATATAGATGACCTGTTGGTGGACATAATACACTTGACCTGTCAGTGGATCAAATATAGATGACCTGTTGGTGGACATAATACACTTGACCTGTCAGTGGACCAAATATAGATGACCTGTTGGTGGACATAATACACTTGACCTGTCAGTGGATCAAATATAGATGACCTGATGGTGGACATAATATACTTGACCTGTCAGTGGATCAAATATAGATGACCTGATGGTGGACATAATATACTTGACCTGTCAGTGGACCAAATATAGATGACCTGTTGGTGGACATAATACACTTGACCTGTCAGTGGATCAAATATAGATGACCTGTTGGTGGACATAATACACTTGACCTGTCAGTGGACCAAATATAGATGACCTGTTGGTGGACATAATACACTTGACCTGTCAGTGGACCAAATATAGATGACCTGTTGGTGGACATACCTTGTGATTGAGCAGCACAGAGCAGCCAGGTTCCAGCTGATCCTTATCAACGAATGACAGAATCTCCAAATAATGTTCGATGCCCACCGTGAAACAATTGGTGGACATAATATACTTGACCTGTCAGTGGACCAACCTATGAGTTCATCCACTTTACTGCGTGGACATAAAACAAAAAACCTAGTCAGGTCGCTCCTGACACACAACAATGATGCCGGCTCCTGTCACACAACAGTGATTGTCGTTCCTGTCACACAACAGTGATGGTCACTCCTGACACATAACAATGATGGCGGCTCCTGTCACACAACAGTGATGGTCGCTCCTGTCACACAACAGTGATGGTGGCTCCTGACACACAACAATGATGGTGGCTCCTGACACATAACAATGATGGTGGCTCCTGACACATAACAATGATGGTGGCTCCTGAGACATAAAAATAACGGTGGCTCCTGACACACAATAATGATAGTGGTTCCTGACACACAATAATAATGGTGGCTCCTGACACACAACAATAATGGCTGCTCCTGACACAGAACAATGATGGATGCTCCTGTCACATAACAATAATGGCTGCTCCTGTCACATAACAATAATGGCTGCTCCTGACACACAACAATGATGGTGGCTCCTGACACACAACAATGATGGTGGCTCCTGACACATAACAATGATGGTGGCTCCTGACACACAACAATGATGGTTGCTCCTGTCACACAACAATGATGGTTGCTCCTGACACACAACAATGATGGTGGCTCCTGACACATAACAATGTTGGTGGCTCCTGACACACAAGCAATGAGGGTGTCAGCTGATCCTTATCAACGAATGACAGAATGCTCACATAATGTTCGCTGCCCACAGACGTAGAAACAATTGCGTGATTGTCATCAATGATTTCTTCCAAGGTCCCGACAGACATGGGTGAACCTCTGAGTTCATCCACTTTGCTGCGCTCCTCCTGAAACACACAAAAACAGCAGTAATATTAACATGGTCGCTCCTGACACACAACAATGATGGCTGCACCTGACACACAACAATGATGGCTGCTCCTGTCACACAACAATGATGGCTGCTCCTGACACACAACAATGATGGCTTGTTCCTGACACACAACATATTCATCAGCGTCATGAGGTTAATAGTGCCAGTCATGTGCTAGATGACAGGACATTGTGTGCATTCGGTGTGCTTCTCATGCTTGGCTGTGCCGATGTTTACTCCCAATTCTCATATTCTTAGCAGTGATGTGGACCGAAACCCTCGAAGTACTATCTCTCTACAGGGACTGACACTCTCTACATGATCCATGGGTTGGCCATCTGCAACAAATGCAGAACCTGCCAGTCTATCAGCTCTTTCATTGCCAACAACATCTGCATGATGTGGGACAAATATGAACAGAACTGCACACAGGAAGTTTTGGAGTGATGCAGTCTACTGTCTGCGTAACGAGCCTGCCTCAACCCGCCGGATCATACTCATGGAATTACCCATCACACACACGCAGGAATATTCCTATGATTCTAGCCACATGAAAGCTTGTATCACGCCATCACCTCCATCGTCATGCTGCTGGTAGTCATTGAGAAGGCACTGCTGGCTTCTAGGACTGTTCTGCTTGATAAGCCACATACGTCAGTGTTGACAGCAATTGGATTCTGCTCCCGAAAACTCCTTTCAGCATGATGACACAGGAGAAGGTGAGATTGAGCGCTCTGGGTACTGGTATCCATTCCTCACCTGGGTGGATGTCTGTAACACTGATGTTGTTGTGTTTGTGTACTATTTACTACATTCTATATTACAAATATATCTGTAAATGTTTTTGCAGATATGAGTTGCGACTTGATAAACAACAAAGCCAAGTTTAAACTATTTACACAGATAAAAACAAAAACATAATAACACAGAATTAAAAAAAATTTCCACCAGGGTGGGTTCACTTTTCTCCTAAATATTTCTTAAGCTGAAACAACCAGTACGAACAAGCTCTTAAAGCCAGATATACAGTTTTAGAGACACCAAAAAAAAAATTCAAACATGTTTTCCGCACAGACACAAACATTACCTCATGCTTCTCTTCCTGGGGCTTCAACCTCTCTTGGTTCTTGATAAACTCCTCCTCCATGAGCAGAAAATCCTTGATGCGTTCCAGCTTCAGCATTTTCAGTCGACATCTTGTGTATGGAGTTACTTCACACGAAATTGAAATCAGTTTCATGATTATATTTCTTCAACAAACAAATATATGTAAATAATCTGGTAAATGTAAATAATAAACATTTTCTTAAAAAAAAAAAAAAGCATTAAATGGTTCTTAATTGTAATCAGTATATAAAAATCTGTTAAGTGTACTGGTCCCGTGGCCTCAAAGGTCCCTGGTGAATTATTGTTGGTAGACTACATGCTACTTGCCATAGCAGTCACAGGATCTGCTGCTGTGTGACCAAAGATGTATTTAAGCACATAAACATCAAGGGTATCCTTGACAGGATGTTGCAGAACCAACCCCAGCATTCGATTGGCTGCTGCTGTGTGGTTTTACGAGGCAAGTGTTACATTCAGTAATTTTCCACAGATTTCTGATTGGTTGGCTGCTGCTGTGTGGTTTTACGAGGCAAGTGTTACATTCAATAATTTTCCACTGATTTCTGATTGATTGGCTGCTGCTGTGTGGTTTTACCAGGCAAGTGTTACATTCAGTAATTTTCCACCGATTTCTGACTGGTTGGCTCTAGAAACCACTGCTGATATAAACATAAAGCGGTCTGCTGCCAAACCACGATCAGCTGAAATTGAAACCGGCACCTCAGAATAATGAAGCGTGTCTGCAACTCCCAGGCCACAGATGTTGACATTAGGACACAGAGTTTAACTGATTCCCCTGCAGATAGTTCATACAAAATTACTGTTTGTACTCGACAGACATTCACATAATTCAGTGTCATTGTCCTCACTAATTCAGAATTTCGCAGTGAAACAAAAAGTCAAATGGAGACATGCACACACACACACAAACACACCGAGGCACACTCAAGAGTGTTGGTACAACTAGTGGACAGGTTCAGTAACAAAGAGAAGCAACTCACCCTGAGGTAATTTTGTGGCAGCATCTGGCCCCTTGGACTTCTTTTTCCTTTTGCCAACTCGAGTTGGGACTGGTGGTTCATACTTTCTTTTCTTCTCCTGCAGAAACAAAGGATGTTCATTAAAAAGGTATGCACAACAACAGCCAGTAATCAAAATGTGATCTTGTCTGTCTGGGTGGCCTGACTTGTACTGATGACTTCCACACGGCTCACTTCCTGACTTGTACTGATGTTTACCACACGGCTCACTTCCTGACTTGTACTGATGACTACCACAAGGCTCACTTCCTGACTTGTACTGATGACTACCACACGGCTCACTTCCTGACTTGTACTGATGACTTCCACACGGCTCACTTCCTGACTTGTACTGATGACTACCACACGGCTCACTTCCTGACTTGTACTGATGACTACCACACGGCTCACTTCCTGACTTGTACTGATGACTACCACACGGCTCACTTCCTGACTTGTACTGATGAATACCACACGGCTCACTTCCTGACTTGTACTGATGAATACCACACGGCTCACTTCCTGACTTGTACTGATGACTTCCACACGGCTCACTTCCTGACTTGTACTGATGACTACCACACGGCTCACTTCCTGACCACAAATGTAGAGTCAGCAAATGTGATCTGTGTATTATAGGGTTAAGTCATCTTTGCCATTAAATTCAGTTATCTGTACAAAACAGGTGAACTATACATGATACAGATGACCTCTGCTGTGAAGCTGCTGCTTACTGCTATAATCATACTTGTTGACATGTTTAAATGTATACCGCCTGTAACAAGCCCTAATAAAACTCATGCTTGTTATCATTATCGCAATCATTATAACAGTCCTCAGCAAAATGTTGCTTTCATATGAGCCCAGAGGACAGATTTATCAAATGTGACCAATCGTCCAGCCTTATGCCAAGAATGTCTGTCATGTCCTGGGTCCACCAACATGGTGGTCAACCGTGCCTCTTCTTCTTGCCTTCTACCATTGTTCTTTCTAATATACACAACAGCAACAGATATTACTTGAGTTTCCAAGATCCAACAATACTTATGAGCCAGGCTTCATTATCCATTTTGCTCTTGATCTACAGTATCTTGAGACATTTTTCTGTAATTTCTTTCTAAAGCCTTAATTGTCTTCCTTAGTGACTGAAATTATCACTATCATAATGATATGCAAAATTACCTTATCATCGCTCTTGTCATTCCCACCGCCACCTGTTCCACCCGACTGACGCTGACCCTGTGAATGTTTTAAAATATTGTGATGTGAATACTCCAATCAAATAAAGACAAACAATGATATGAGACAAATTTATTGATACACAGCAGGCCATTTAACTAGGCCGGCTTAGGAGTCAACATGTTGGTAAATGGGGATCATTGCGGGCCATTCAACCAGGCTGGCTTACTCAGAAGTCAACATGTTGGTAAATGGGGATCACTGGGGGCCATTCAACCAGGCTGGCTTATTAGTCAACATGTTGGTAAATGGGGATCACTGGGGGCCATTCAACCAGGCTGGCTTACTCAGGAGTCAACATGTTGGTAAATGGGGATCATTGCGGGCCATTCAGCCAGGCTGGCTTACTCAGGAGTCAGCATGTTGATAAATGGGGATCACTGGGGGCCATTCAACCAGGCTGGCTTACTCAGAAGTCAACATGTTGGTAAATGGGGATCATTGGGGGCCATTCAACTAGACTGGCTTACTCAGGAGTCAACATGTTGGTAAATGGTGATCATTGGGGGCCATTCAACCAGGCTGGCTTACTCAGGAGTCAACATGTTGGTAAATGGGGATCATTGGGGGCCATTCAACTAGACTGGCTTACTTAGGAGTCAACATGTTGGTAAATGGTGATCATTGGGGGCCATTCAACCAGACTGGCTTACTCAGGAGTCAACATGTTGGTAAATGAGGATTATTGGGGGCCATTCAACCAGGCTGGCTTACTCAGGAGTCAACATATTGGTAAATGGTGATCATTGGGGGCCATTCAGCCAAGCTAGCTTACTCAGGAGTCAACATGTTGGTAAATGGTGATCATTAGGGGCCATTCATCTAGACTGGCTTACTCAGGCTTGCCTCAGGTGACCGATCCATCCAGGTGAACCAGAGCATCACTGACACTGTTCTCATCAATAATCGCAGGTGACCGATCCATCCAGGTGAAACACAACATCACTGACACTGTTCTCATCAATCACCCCAGGTGACCGATCCATCAAGGTGAAACACAGCATCACTGATACTGTTCTCATCAATCACCCCAGGTGACCGATCCATCCAGGTGAAACACAGCATCACTGACACTGTTCTCATCAATCACCCCAGGTGACCGATCCATCAAGGTGAAACACAGCATCACTGACACTGTTCTCATCAATAATCCCAGGTGACCGATCCATCCAGGTGAAACACAACATCACTGACACAGTTCTCATCAATCATCCCAGGTGACCGATCCATCAAGGTGAAACACAACATCACTGACACTGTTCTCATCAATAATCCCAGGTGACCGATCCATCCAGGTGAAACACAGCATCACTGACACAGTTCTCATCAATAATCCCAGGTGACCGATCAATCCAGGTGAAACACAGCATCATTGACACTGTTCTCATCAATAATCCTAGGTGACCGATCCATCCAGGTGAACCACAGCATCACTGACACTGTTCTCATCAATCAGCATTTTTACTAAGTGTCTAAGGAATTTGTTCTTTGCCGCTTCCCTCAAGGGTTATACATACCAGGAAGCTGATGTTTGAAGCAGTTGATAAACGTACCGATCCATTTCCTAGATTAATTTCTGCAAAGCGACACGTCTGCTGTATAGCATCCTCCCGGGACCCATCCAAGACAAGACAAGCCTCTTTGAATACTTCACCCAAAAATGGATGTCACTAGTCTGATTTCACCTTGAGAAAATCAGCGGCCCTGGTAAGTTTAATTCTGTTGCCGATCATGAGGAAGTCTAACAGATATCCCATTAACTGGCCTGTGTTTCTGCTTTTTAAAGGATAAGCATCTATAAAACTGTACACCTAGGTACACTGAGTTGAACCTCTCGAAGACCTTGCCACAGAGGTATACCACTGGTGTTGGCATTTTCATGTGGATATTCCAGGAGAACCAGATAACTGTCAATTTGGATGGGTTAATGGTTCCCCTGAAATACAGTACCAGGATGATATTTGGTTGAATAATTCGGCTATCTTCCGAAAAACGGTTCTAAACTATCAAGGCTGAAAATATACCCTAACAGAGCCTCAGTCACGTGTCAACTGCGCACTTCCAGGGGACTATACCGCCACCGCCGAGAGTATCCCCAACGCCATGTGGATTGGGGCTTAACTAGATGGCTGGGACTCACGAGCAAATAAAATGAAGGAAGCTGCAGAAGATCGATGCGGTAGCTGCTGCTCGTGTCCCAGCCATCTAATTTAGCTCTTATCCACGCCCCGTGAGCGGCGTGGGGGATACTCTAAGCAGTGGCGCAAGTCGTCGGAAGTGCGCAATTCAAGTCGCTGGAAGTTCACATTTGACACATGACTGAGGCTCTGTTAGGGTATATTTTCGCCCTCGATAATTTAGGAAATTTATTCGGAAGATAGCCAATTATTCCTTTTGTAACTCAAACACAATGTCAGCTCTGTTCCAGGCCTGTTGATGTTATGTGATACTCAGTCGTTCTCCTGTGTTGTGGACTCTTATGTAGATTCTGAACAGGACTAGAAATAGGGAAGAATCTTGGGGTTCGCCTGGGTTGAGAAGACCTAACACCACACCAGAGCACAAACTTTCTTTGGAACAATGCAGCAGACGATAAGATAAAACTCTTTTCTGTTTTCCCAGTCACAAAGCCTTCTATTTATTTCAGTACTGAGTAGAAGGAGGACATCGACATTAGGGACCACAGATCCGGAAATTTGCTATCTTTTCGACAATTTCCGTTACCATAGAAACCGTTTAAAACTTGTTTCGGAAATGTCGGCTGGGGTTTCGGGATGGGTCCTAATCTCTCATGAAATTTTGCCATTGGTGTGATTTTCACCCACTCTAAATAGCTGAAAACGGCGGGAAGGAACCCGATTAACAGCGCATGTCTACGACAGCCGGACATTCTCTGTTTTTCTGTTAGTCTATCAGTTTGATTGAAAATAGCGGTAAATTCGAGGTTGGCTTTAGGCTTAAACATTACCAGTTGTGGTAATGCTAGTTACAATTGAATTCTCCGTCCAATTTTACATTTGCATATTAAATTTTTTTTCCCGACTCTGGCTGTTTAGATTTACAGTGACATTTTTTAGGCAATCGCATGCGGCTGAGTGAGCTGAGTCTCACTGCCTGCCATCTTGTCCAATGACAGTCCAATGTCAACAAAGCCGATACAGAACTGCGCAGTAGGTTGCGCAGTAAAAAACTTCTTGTTTCTGGGTCACAAGTTTTAGCGGCTGTTTCTTACATCTCATCTCCACAAAAACCTACATATCTCAGCTCAGAAATGACATACAAGCCTAAATGAGGTACCATTGGAAAGAGATTGTTTACAGCTATCTAACTGTGCTGGTTTTATTGGTGTAGAGGGCATTTTAAAAATTTGACTGAAGTAGCTATCGACATCTCTCTCGAATTTCAGTACTTTAACCAGATGCTCACATTTGATTTACAAAGTATTAGTATACATCCATTCTCTATAATATGATGAGAGGTGCTAGATCATGGCAGTTGGATTTAGAACTGACATAAATTAATTATTCATTCATTGTATAAAATTAAAATAAAAATCCTTTTTTTTTCCACTTCAGTGCTTCAGTCAAAATGATCATAATTTAATCATCTGAAGGATGCTGACAGGGGATTACCTAGACAGTATTATATGAAAAATGATTTACCATTGTTTATATAATATGTAATCAGAGCACTATCTCCAAGAAGTCCCGAGTATAAATAATGATTTATAAACAAAATAATGGCGATGCTACAACTGTCTTAATACTCTTACCATAGTGACTCAGATTTTAGGAAGTTGTGCAGCCACCATTTGTGTCATGCGCAGGGGGGACCATGTAACTCTTCTATCGAAGAGAATAGAATTGTTTCGGCAAACAGAACTCTTGTGTGCCAGGAAAACAGTGGCCGGCCAGTGTCGTCTGTCATAGACTGCTAGTCTTCTTGTAAGTGTCAGAAATTACGTGATACTGACTTCACATTTCAGGAAAATAAACACACCGTCAAGACAATTTTGTTTGCAGCATACTGCTATAGCCATTTCTTCCAGAACGGAAACCGGCGATCACAATAAAGTCAGTCGAGTCTAGTCTGCTCTGTAAAAAGTCAATCAAATCAAAAGGCGCCATCGTCGGCATCTGCTATCTTACTATCTTATTAATTTATTATATATCTAAATTTATCATTTTGAAGTTGATGTCGACTAGCTGTTTCTGTTTGAGGTTTTAAGTTTAAACATTCTGCAAATAGTTTCTTCGTCGTTTACCGGCATAAAATTGCTGAGTATAAACCTTCTAGTACAGTACAGTACAGATGGTGTAATCTTCAAATTACCTAAAAAAGGTGATTTATCCGATTGTAACAACTGGAGAGGCATCACCCTGCTTTCGATACCAGGGAAACTATTTTGTAGTATGCTACTAGAAAGATTGAAAAAATCCATAGATGAAAGATTAAGGGAAGAACAGGCCGGTTTTAGATCCAAGCGGTCATGCATAGACCACATCTTTACTCTTAGAATAATTGTTGAAGATTCTACAGAATTCCAGTCGAAATTATTGATCAACTTTGTCGACTTTCAAAAAGCCTTCGACAGTATCCATCGTCCAACACTCTGGAAATTGCTTAACATCTATGGTTTCCCCATCAAATATATCAACATCATAAAATCTTTTTATAATGAAACACGATGCTGTGTAAGAACTGATTCCGGCAATTCTGACTGGTTCCCGGTGGAAACAGGAGTGAAGCAAGGCTGTGTCCTATCGCCGATGCTTTTTGGTATAGCAATCGACTGGGTCATGCGCAAGTGCATAAATAACGCAAATTTAGGCATTACATGGGTTGACAAAATTCTGGAAGACCTAGACTTCGCCGACGACATAGCACTCCTGAGTTCAGAACACACAGACGCCCAAGAAAAAATCAATTGACTCCAGAAATTCTCAGAACAAATTGGACTCCAAATTAACACCGCAAAAACAAAAATTCTAGACTTTACC